AACCCGCAGGCTCCTGGCGCCTCCGCAGCCCGCCCAGGCCCCTGCCCCAGAGTCCTGCCTCGTTTCCGCTGCACCAGGAAGGCGCCCCTCTGCCCTCCGACTCGCCCCCGCAGCAGCACCCCAATTTCAGCGACTCCTCCAGGAGCCAGGTGGAAAACAGCAGAGAAGCGAATGCAGGGGCTGGCCGCGAGCCGGAGCCGGGCCCCATCCGCAGGGTCTATACCCAGGAGCAACGCCGGGCGTCCACCCCTTACCCTGCCCAGCGCTCTGCTGGCTCACAGGAGCGCCATCACCACCAGAGGCACTCGAGCAGGCAGAACCAGCACACTCACAACCAAGACCCAAGTAGCCAGACCTCGACCTAGGCTCCTTTCACAGCATCTCGCCAGCGCCCTGGAGGTGGTCAGTGCAGCCCTGCAGCGCGAGAGACTCCTTCAGTGCCTTCCACTCACCAGCAAACAGCCGCACACCTCTCTCTGCCAGAGCTTCCACACCACTTCTGGGAGAAGACCCGCACCCGGAAGACCTGCCCCTGACCTCGTAGACCCTGGGTGGAAATGAACTCCACATGAAAGGATGTTACTCTCACTTTTTTAAAAAAAAGTCTTCTCTGAGTGTACATCTTCAAGCAGTATTCTCCACTGGCATTTTTCCTTTCAAAAACTACGACAGCCCAACAGCAACAACAAAAAGTTAAAAATTTGATCCAGAACTTTTCACTTTCACCATTAGATTCTGAATGTGTCCGTTTTCCTGGGGATTTAATTACTGTATGTTTGTGTTTCAAAATAGAATTTGTCCTTTTTTAAAAAAGTATTCACTACTGCAAGGTTGTTTTTTCTACTAGAAATTTAATCTTTACTCTGTTCCATCACATGCCCAATCTCCCTTTCACTAGACTTTTTTGGTTTTGTACACATGCTGCATCCAGGAGGCTGAACCCAGGACCTTCAAGTTGAGCTACAGTCTCAGCCCTTTATTTATTATTTTGCTTTGTTTCGTTTTATGTTTGTGATTCATTGTTGTTGTGATTTTGCTTTGTTTTAATTTTTTGAGATAGGGTCTTACCTAGTTACTAACTTGCTCAGGCTGGTCTTGAATTTGTAATCCTCCTGCCTCAACCTGTGCAGGGTGTTGGGATTACAGGCCTGCCCACCACTCAAGGTTTAAAATAAACTTTAAGAGAAGTTTTAGGTTCACAACAAAATTGGATGAAGAAAATATCAGAGAGGTTTCCAGAAACTCTGATTCCACACAATCATGGCCTGTTTACTAAATCAGATAGCACGTTTATTACCTTTGGTGTACTTAGCCTGGCAAGTTATTATCTCCCTAACTCCATAGTTGATGTTAGAATTCACTGTAGGTATTGGACATTCTAGAAGTTTTGACTAATGCTTAATGATACGTACCTATCATTATATTATACAGAATAGTTTCTTCTAAAAATCCTCTTTCACCCTCCCCTTCCACATCCCTGTAAACCACATGTCCATAATTATTTCCCCAGTTCTGTCCTCTGTAGAACATTACATAGTCATACCACATGTAGACTTTCAAATTGACTTTTTTCACTTAGTAATATGCATTTTCACTTAGTAATATGCATTCTCCATATATTTTTATACCTTCATAGCTCATTTATTTTTAGCATTGAATGATGTTCCTTTGTCTGGATGTAACACTGTTTATTGATCCATTCGCCTACTCGAGGACATTTTGGTTGCTTCCAAGTTTTGACAGTTATGAATAAAATTACTAAAAATATCTATGTGCAGGCTTTTATGTGGACATAGTTTTCAGTTCATTTGTGTAAATATCAAGGGTGCTATTGCTGGACCATGTGGTATGCACGTTTAGTTCTGTAAGAGAACTGCCCAACTAAGGTGTAGCTAAGCATTAGAATGCTTGCCTAGCATGTGTAAGTCCCTGGATTCAATCCCCCACTGAAACAACAAACACACAGAAAAGCAAACAAACAAACAAAAACAGCTGCCAAGCCCTCTTCCAAAGTAGCTGTAGCATTTTTCATTTTCATCAACAATGAATGAAAGTTCTTGTTGCTGTGCATCCCATTCAAGCTTTTGCTGTTTTCAGAATTTTGTAGTTTTTCTGAAGCATGTAAAATCTGTGAGTTTTTGTTATTGTTTGCACAAGTGTCCAGTTCTTGCACCACCTACTGAAAAGATGGTTTTTTCTCCACTGTATGGCCTTTGCTACCTGGTCAAAGGTTAGTTGACTGTATTACTGTGTGTCATATCTGGGATCTCAACTCTTGTTATTTTGACCTGTTTATTCTTTCACAAATATCACATTATCTTGATTAGTACACTAAATTTATAGTTAAGTATTTAAGTACCTCTATCCTTCTGATTTGTTTTTCCCCTCAGTATTTTGTTGTCTGCTCTCGGTTTTTCGCCCCTCCATATAAAATATTACAGTCTATCAGTGCCTATAAATAGCTTGTTGCAGTTTGCATTGGAGTACATTGAATCTACAGATAAAGTTTGGAAAAACCAGCATGTTGATGTTTTGAGCTTCCTGACTGTAAAACTGGATTATCTCTCCAATTATTTCATTCTTTGATTAGAGCTTTAATTTTTTTCTTACTTAGACATATGATCTTTGACATATTTTGTTAGGTTTATACATGAACATTTCACTGTGAATATTTAAATTTCAAATTCTAATTGTTGCTAGTATATCAGAAAGCAAAGACCTTTGTATATTTACCACATGTTTTCTAACTTTAATTGCTAATCCCAAAATTATTTTGGTTGATTAATTTGGATTTTCTACACACCCTTATGTCATCTATAAATAATATTTTATTTCTTCCTTCCAAAACTGTATATCTGTTATTGCATAGCTAATATTTCCCATATAATGTTGAAAATGAGTAGCCAGAGGATGTATTTTTGTCTTCCTAACTTTAGTGAGAAAGTTTCTGATTTCTCACCATTAAGTGTGATGTTAGCTATAAGATTTTGGTCATCTTTTTTTTCATCAAGACAAGAAATCCTCTTTCTAGTTTTATCACGAGTATTGAATTTTGTCAAATGCTCTTTCTACATTTATTGATCTGATCATGTGATTTTTCTTCTCTAGCTTGCTGATGTGATGGAATTACATTAAGTGATTTTTGAATGCTGAATCAGCCTTATATATCTGGGATAAATCCCAGTTGGTCGTGGTGTACAATTGTTTGTGCTGTCAGATGGATTTCTTAATATTTTGTTGAAGATTTTTTGTATCTATCTCCGTAAAACTTACTGTGTGTTTTTTTCTTTAATATCTTATCTGATTTGGTATTAAGAATACTGTTGTTCTCATAGAATGAGGCCTATGCTTCTGTCTTCTGGAAAAAATTATAGAGAACTGGTGTAATGTCTACCTAGAATTTGGTAGAATTTACCGGTGATCCCATCTGGGCTTGGACTTTCTGTTTTGAAAGGTTTTCTGTTTGTTTTTCATTTTTTTAGTGCTGGGGATTTAACAGAGGGCCATATGCATGCTAACTATGCACTCTACTATTGAGCTACAACCCTAGTGTTTCAGAAAGTTCTTATTAATTAAATGTTTAATATATGTAGGCTTGCTCAGGCTATCTGTTTATTCTATTCTGAATTTTGGCAGATTTTCTTTTTCAAAAAAATCTGTCAATCTAACTTACCAAATTTGTGGGCATAAACTTGCTCAAAATGTTCCTGAAGTGTCCCTTTAATGTATGTATATCCATAAGTTCTGTAGTAATGTCCTCTCTTTCATTTAGGACATTAGTAATGTATATCTTCTCTCCTTTTTCTTAGTTACCTTGCAAGACACTTCATTGATCTTTTTTTTTTTTTTTTTTTTTTTCTACTGGGAATAGAACTCAGGACCTTGTGCTTGCCAGGCAGGCACTTATGCCACGGAGCTATATCCTCAGCCCCCACTGATCTTTTCAAAGAACAAGTTTTTTGATTTATTTATCTCTATTGATTTATTTTTGTGGGTTTATTCTCAAAATATTACTATTTCATCTGCTTTAAATTTGCCTTTTCTTTTTCAGATCTCCTAAGGTAGGGGCTTAAATTATTGATTCTAGAACTTTCTTCTTTCCCAATATGTGCATCCAGTGTTATAAGTATCTGTCCAAGCACTGCTTCTGCTATATTCCACAAATCTTGATAACTTTAATTTTCATTTAAAATTTCTCCTTTGACTCATGTATTATTTACAAATGTAGTGTTTAATTTCCCAAGTGTTTTGGAATTTTCTATATATGTTTTGTTATTAATTTCTATTTTACTTTCATTGTGGATGAGAGTAGACAATTTCTATTCTATATATAGGTTTAGGTTTGTTTTATGACCCAAAATGTGATCTCTCCTAGAAAATACTCCATGTGAGTTTGAGAACAGTGTGTACTGTATTCTTCTCTGTTGGAAGAAATGTTTTATAGATGTCATTTATGTGAAGTTGATTGATGGTGCTGTTGAGTTCGACCAAGTCTTTACTGCCTGCTGGCTCTGTCCATTGTTGACAGAGGGTGTTGAAGTTTCTAACTATGATAATAGATTTATCTGTTTCTGCTGGGAGTTCTGTCAGGTTTTACCTCTATTTCTAGCTTCATACACATTATGGACTGTCATATCTTCTTGGAGAATTGATTAGTTTATTATTACATCTGTATTATTATGAAATACTCCTTGTTATGCCTGATAATGGCCTTGCTTTGAAATCTGCCTCAAAATTAATACCTTTCTTTTGATTACTGTTTTCATGATATATTTTTCTGCTCCCTTTACACTTAATATACATCTTTATATTTAAAGTTAATTTATGCTAGAAAACATATAGTTGGGTCTTTTGAGCCAATCGTATAATTTATTTTAATTGGTATATTTAAACCAATGATATTGAAAGTTTTATTGATATTGTTGGATTAATATGTGCCATGTTTGTTGTGTTTTTGCTGATCATGTTCTTTTTGCTGCCTACCACGTTTTTGCCTCTTACAATTTTGAGAATTTTATGCTTTGCCCTTTTCTTAGTGTATCAATTATGTTTTTTATTTATTTACTTAAGTTTTTTAACTGGTGGCCCTAAAGCTTTCAATATACTTTTATAACTAATATTACTCTATTTTTGAATAACACTATAGTGCTTCCCAGTTATGTAAGGTTATCTATAACCTCAGAATACATTATTGCTATTATTATCCTGAACAAACTGTTACCTGTTCAAGTAAGAATAGAAAATGAAAGTTTTATTTTACCTTTTCTTATTCTTTCTCTAGTTCTCTTTATGAAGAACCAAGTTTTTGACCTTTATCATTTTCCCTTTCTGAAACACTTCTTTAAACATTTTTTGCAAGACAGTTCTACTGTCAACAGATTCTCTCAATTTTTGTCTAAGAAAGTCTATACTTCTCCTTCACAGATAACGATAATTTTACAGAATAAAAAATTGTATTTCTTTATTTTGTTATTTCTCTCCTAACTTTAATGTTTCACTCCATTCTCTATTTGCTTGCAAGATTTTTTAAGGAGAAGTTTGATGTCATTCTTATCTTTGCCCCTATGCATTTAGCATATTGACTTACCTCTGGCTTCTTTCAAGATTATTTTTCCTTTACCTTTGACTTTTTGCAGTTTAAATATATTATGCCTATCTTCATATTTTTCTTGCTTTGTATTCTCTGAGATTCCCGAATCTGAGCTTTGATATCCAATGATATTTGGGGGAAAGTCTCAGGATTTTTTTCAAACACTTCTGTTTCTATGTTCTTTCTTGTCTTTTGGTATTCAGATTATGCCTTTCGTATATTGTTTGTTGTCCGTCAGTCCTTGGATATCCTGCTATATTTTTCTATCCTTTCTTCCTTTTATATTTTCAACTTTGAAGTTTTCTGTGCATTTATAATCAAGCTCACTTATCCTTTCCTTAGCTATGTACGGTCTCCTAATCAGTCCATCAAAAG